CATCTATCTATCAGTGAAACACATAGTCAGGCTGTGGTGGCAGAGGGCTTCGGAGGGCAGGCGGGAACAGTCCCTGCATGAAGCCAACCCAGAACATGGAACATCCCATTCCCCAGAGCAGTCTTCATGCATGGTTGCCCAATGGTGCATGCACTTGTGCACACACAGAAACAACACAAATCTGCCAGCAAAAGAACCGGTCCCTCAACCCCTACCCCCCCCCCCCATTTGCTGTTGGCTTGTGGCGGCTTAATCCTGCTCTGTGCACTGAAAATGTCTCTAAGGATTTCTTTCCATTTCATTAGTTTATCCTGTGGGCTGTCAGCAGCCAAGAAAGAAAAACCTGTTGGGTGTGATGGAACGCTTTGATTCATTCTCTGCATGCTAGGAACACAGATTTGGTAATGGTTTATTTTGATAATAGTTGGTAATAATAATAATAGTGGCCCAAAGCTAGCTGGAGGGAAGGAGAAGGAAGGTGAGGGGAAACCAGAGGAGGCAGGGTGTCGGGCTGTTGACTGGGGAGGTCTGAGAAAGAGTTCTTGTCAGTGCTGTTAGCAGCTGGTTTCAGACTTTCCCTTAGGTCTGACCAAAAGCTGGGCTGAGCGGCTGAGAGACTGGTCCTGGGTGTCTCTTGGAGAGCTCCAGCCTGACACAGAAATGGAGGTATAGCTTACTGTGGATGGGTGTGGGAGGTGCTTCTCACTGAACAAATGCTGGCAAGTTCAGGAGCCATCAGGTCTATGAAGGACAGAAAGAGCAGCCGGGACGGGCAGGCCCAGCTTGCACCAAGTTGTAGCAGAAGGCAGGAAGCTAAGGGTGATGGGGGTGGGAGGTGTCTTACGTCCTTTTGAGGCCAGATGAAGGGGCAGACCAGGGTGAGAAATACCTTCAATTATGAAATACAGACGCATGAAAACAATTCAAGCCACAGTGACCTTTAAATGAAATAACCTAAATCTAGCCTTGTAATGGTTGGAGGTGGGAAGGAAAATCCTTAAAGAACTTCATTCTTCCCCCCCAAAAAAATAAGACATCATTAAGCATATGTGTGTGTGTGTATACATACACACACACACACACACACACACACACACACATAGAGAATAGGGGGAT